GAGAGAGAGAGAGAACTACGGGGTCAAACTAATCTCCCTAACATAGATGTTTTGGCTGTGAGGCCAAATATACCAATGGAACTCTAAAATTTGACTGGTGTTCTGCACACTCCTTGCTATTTGTATCTCACTTCTTGCAAGATCTATCAAATGTAGTAAAGTCGAGTCCGGTAGTATTCACTGAGGATCTCTCCATCCTCTTGAAATTGTTATGGGAAACAGGTTGTTCTTTACTCACACAAAAAGGAACAGATCTACCTTGAGTAGGCACAACATTATTGGAAATGACGGGATTGTATGTGCTGCATAAAATGATAATTAATTATAATGAAACTTCTGATATGCAGTGTATTGCAGTTTTCTATAGTAAAATAACTTGTGTAAGTGTGATGAAGCAATTTTGTATAAACTTTTGATTTTTAATTATGGCGGTTACAGACGTTCATAATTCATTGTAACAATTTGGCCAGTTTAAACCGTTACATTTGTGTTGCAATTCTTTGCGATGAGTTTTTATATTAACAATGAGAATGTATTGAAAGGTGTGCCTTCATCCTTGAAGTTTCCAGACAAGAACATGAGTTGAATCAGATTTGAATATTTAAATGAGTGTTTGATGTTGAACTTTGAACATCAAGGCATTGTACGACATCACACAAGTTGAAGATATGTTCAACAAATTTGTGGTTGTCATCAAGAAGTCTTGATATGACGATGTAACAATACTTGTGCATTGTATGGCGTATGAAGGTTAAGCATGTTCCATGCCTTGATGCTATGTGAAGTATGAGACGACAATGTTCCTGTCACTAATAGCAGTCACCCTACAACAAGATGGAAATAACAGAATAAAATTCTGGCAAAAATTGTATTTTGTACGCTAATGAAATTCAATTGCCCTGACAGAAAATTCATCAAAACCCTGGCTTAATTTTTCCTATCACTAACTTGCTCTCTTTTCTTTCTGATTTTTTCTTTGAATCATGCTCTTTTCTTTCTAGTTTGATCTTTTAATCTTTTTTTATCAGGAGCAATGAATATTTTACTTCAGGGTATCCCCAATACCACAGTATTGCCAAACTTGCTGGCCTTATTTTCATTAGAAATAGGAGTTGCAAAATGTCAATGGTTTTTGGATATTATATTATTACTACATATTGTGTACTACTAATCCAAATACGTGAACTGGAAATATTGATCCTATGCTTGCTGTGCCTCCATAATATTGAGAGTATCTTCTAGGTTGAGACTCTTTTTAAGGTTTAATCCAATATTTGATTATGTGATTGCTTTCTTTAGTTGTTTTGAATGCATATCTCACTGAGCTTGTGTGAACAGGCAACTTTTCTTCCTTTGATAGTGCAGCCAGACATTTTTGAAGCAGCCTTATGGTCAACTTGGTTTGCAGTACTTTGTTCCTTGAAGGTAAGTACAGTTAGCACAAAGATAGCACATGCTTTTGGTGCCTTCGGTGCAGGCAGTGTAAAATATTGATGTTTCCTCATGGGTATCTGATTGATTCTTTTATCCCAATCAATTAGATGTTTCAAGGACTGGCTAGAGACAGACTTGAGCGATTGAATGCCTCTCCCTCAACAACTACCTCAGCATATTTCCGAGTGTTTTCTGTGCTGCTCTTGGTTCTCGTCACCGACTCTTTTTGGTATGACTTTCCAGCCTAATATTTTCATATTTGATGTTCTTTTTTACTATAGCCATAGTTATCAACTTTTCTTGGCACTAATTTTGGATGGAAATGTCCATGTGTCTAGTGTTTACCTCCATACATTCGGTTATCGCTTTCAGGTATAGTATTGGTGATCATGATGATTGTCACTTTCAAAAAGTTATGATGATTAAGTCACCTCCAACTGTTTCAATTAATATGTACCAGGCATTTTTGTGCAAATTTTGAAGATATGGCTTCACTAAATTAAAGAACATATTGGCTTGCCAGTATGACTTACTGAGTAATTCATCTTATCTTCAGCAGCCGCAACTCAAGAATGAATGGGACTTTCGAGCGATTGAGTGAATATCGAAAAATATGCAGCATGGAACTGGTGAACCATAGGACTGATAGAGCTTCTAAATCAAATGGATCGTTTTCATGCTTATCATCAGTGTTAGCTGAAACTTCTTCATTTTCCTTTATTACTTGTTTACTGTAGACACATTTAGCACCTTGGTCAGAAACCCATTTGCACACTCCTTTTGACTGGTGCCCCCACTGGGGACTGGTAAACCCTTTTGACTGGGGACTGGTAAACCCTTTTGACTGAAGATATTTATGACTGTTTTAAGTGTTTGGAGATTAAACAAGCTGGCGATATAATCTTTGGGTAAGCTTTCTTTATCATATTTTTGGTAGAAACTGATCTTGTTACGGTAGATCAAAGGAATTCATCCTCGGAGGGTCCAATGGTCATGCGAATTGCCAGAGTCTAGTGCAAATAACAACAGCTATTTTGCATGGGTTAAGTCGACCCCAATGATACTTAACAGAAAATACGTGATTGAACACAGATTAAAAATCTAGTTGCCCTCATCCTGCTATCCCTAACTATGAAGAGTCGATGGCATCAGATTCACTTATTATGACATGGATTCTTGGTTCTATAGATGAAACCATTAGAGATGGATTACTTTTCCTTGATTCGGCCCAAGAAATCTAGGATGCCTCAAAATAGGAGTTCTTTCAGAAAGACAATAAGTGTACCAGTTTTATGGAGACATAGCCTTACATTCTTAAGGAGGGCAGCTCTGCTAGATTATTATGAGCACTGCATGTGGGAGGAACTTAAACTTTATGTGCTCTCACAATGAAAGTTTTCTGAGTGCCTTTTGAAATTGCAAAAGCAATTTGAGAAGAGGTATATTTTTGATCGCGTAGCTAGCCTTAATGATGATTATGAGATCGTTCATACTCATGTATTATCTGCTGAAAAAATTACCATCAGTTAATGTTGTCTATGCTCTTCTTCAAAGAGAAGAAAAGTGTAGGGAAGTAATGAAAGTTGTTTCAAAGGTCCCTAATCTGGCCTTTGTTGCTGATTTTCAAGTAGCAAGCTAGAAAGGATGTGAATGTGATCGTGGTACAGCTGCTAGACCTAAATGTGAACGTGGCAATCTATTCGGCCAGACAAATGATATGCGCTGGGCTTTGCACGAAAGACTGGCAGCATCACCTACTAGTTTAGTCAAGGTCACAACCCACCAAGTGACACACTTCACAGACAACTTCTTAGATGGAATGATCTGTCAACTCATTGCGCTCCTTGAGAGAAAGGAACCATTAAACTCTCTACAAGTGCAATTATGTCTCAGGAGACAAGTTATCATCACTCCCTTCTTGCTGCATCCTCCAATTGTTTTATGGATTCCTGAGCAACAAATCCTATGATGGTAAACTTCATCTACTTACCCACACTTACCATCATAGGATTTGTTACCATCAGTTGGGTCCGAGCCTTTTTCATTGGGTATCTCCTGTCGATCTTACTTAGATATTCTAGTTGCTATACAAAAACTAAAAGGTCTTTCTTCCTATTTAACATTTTGTTTTCTAATACTACCCTTTCTTCATCATATCAGTCTTTAATTTTCTTTTGTTAGTTCTGTCTCAGAACCTAGTACGACTGTCCATGGTCTTATTCTTGCTGAACAGCCCTTCAATGATGACCGATTGCTTCAGGAGCTCCTTGAAATTCATGGGTTCTGGCTGTCAAGTTTAACGCAGTCTTGACATTCATACAGCTTAAGCAAGTCTGGACGGCATTGGCTTCTGATACTGTGGGCCTCATGCTAATGCAGAGATCCCTCCAATTGGTAATGAGCATTGTGGGGGGTTTATCGCCCTTCCGTTCAATGGTTCTTAGTACTATAGCTTGCATATTGGTCTGGTGCTATAGAATCATTGGTAAAAACATTCCTCTATTTGCTCCCAAGTAGTAACTAAGTTGGGAGTAAACCTCGAATGTTAAGAAAATGTTGCAACGGTGAGTGACCAAACAAATTGCCTGAGCGGTAATCGGCCATCCGATGCTGTACTAGCACAATCGGCAATAAAATGAGTGATGTGCTCTTGTGGGGAGCTGGTTCCATCAAATTTTTCGAACGTGGGAAGCTGGTACACTATTGGAAATGGACCTCATCGATGTATGCTGGATAAGGCCTTTAGGACGTCTCGATAGGTCAAGTAGGTGTGGCAATGGACCCAGACCCAACGTTCGGACCCGATATGGGTTTGGGTATGGGTCTAAGAATTGAACTTGGCCGGGTTGAGGTCCAAATGTTGGACTTGAACACTATTGGGATTGGGGTCCGGGTTCGGGTCCATGTGGATCCGGACTCGGACCCGACCCGAATAGTGTTATTATAAAAATAATTTGTAATATATAATAATTTAATAATATTTAATTAATGTTTAAATAAATAACTTTTTAGTAATAATATTTAGGGAAAATTACAGATACCCCCCAAAATTGTACTTTCTAGACAACCTCCCCTCAACTACTTTTTAGATCTGTCAATAAACCCGAACATTATTTTTTATACCGTTTAGCCCCCCAATCAAAAAGTAAACTCAAATAAAGACCAAAATACCCTCTCTTTAGTAATTACCACGGCCCTCATTGTGCCTTCTGGATTCACTCACGGATTGACACTTTTTCCATGCCGTCCGACACATATTCTTTGCGGTCCTGCACATTTTCTTTGCGGTCCTGCACATTTTTTTTGTAGTTTGGCAATGCGTCTTCTGGATGCACTCACCGGTCCAAGACTTTTTCCAAGCGGTTCGACACATTTTCGTTGTTGTCCAGCACATGTTCTTAGCGGTGCAGAAGCCCGTCTTCTGGATGCACTCAATGGTCCGACACTTTTCTATGCAGTCTGGCAAGTCTTCAAAGCAGTCTGACGCTTTCTCAACGCAGTCTGGCAGTGTGTATTTGGGATGCACTTCCCAATCCGGGAATGTGATGCATTTGCGTATGAACAAGGGAATTTTCGTCCTTATAACGATGACTTTTTAACTTGGGGACGGGTTTTTGTTATAAAAGTTAGTTTTGGATTAAAGTTGTGATAGAAAAAGTGGTTGGGGGGAGAATGTATAGTAAGTTGAGTCAAGGGGGGTTTTAGTAATTTTCCCTAATATTTAAACAATACATGTATGTGTTTAGCATAACATTAAAGTATATTAAATATATATATTTTATTTCCGGGTCCGAATCCATTTGGTCTGGATCCGGGTTCGATAACCTTGTGTCCGGGTTCTGTAATTTTTTTCGAGTATGGGTCCAGCTGGACTTGACTTGTACCTGACCTGTTGCCACCAAGTGCCCGGTAATTGTTACTTCTTATGTTTGTACAATATCGTGGACGGTATGTTTGTCTGGGAACATGCAATTAGATTAGCGAGTGGTATTGCTGCTGTCAAAGAAGATACAGACTAAACTCCTGTAGTTGGAAGGCTTGGGGTGTTGAATGGTACCCCACTACTGAAGGCTGAGCGACCAAAGTGTTAACTTTAGCCATTAGGGCTGCTATTCAGCCTCTTGTTTGGAAAGCATTGCTTGAGTCTGGGCCTTCTTTTTAGCCAAAATCTTGTGGAAGTCTTTGGCTTGTCTTGAGAGGTTGATTCTCCTACTACAACAACTAAAGTGCTATCGGTCGAGCGATGTCCAAACAAAGATGAAACCAAACTCTCTCTCGGGCCCTCTATGAGGTCCTTCCCATTTGAAGTAGGGGGGCAAGGAGATCTAGATGAAGGGTGCTCCAGGGAGTGTGGGCACGTTTCTAGCTTGTATAATGGGTTGTTAGTGTCCGGAGAGGGCAATTCAACTGCAGATTCCTCATCATTACGAGGGGAACGTGTCTTGGTCTCCTTGCCCTCTTGTTCTTGCAGTATCAGGGGAGAAGAGGGCTCGCATATTATGAGGGTGCCTCAACCTCTTGGTCCATGATCACGAGGTTTCCTTTCCCCTTTCTTAGGAGCTTTACTACAGGCATATTACATGCAGCGATATCTGTCATGACTTATCTAGAGTGTTCAGCCTCTTGAGGATAGAAGCTATTATTCCATAGCAAAAGTCTAGCGTCCTGGAATGCCATTGAGTTTGCGAAAGAAGGTGCTAATACTTTTGAACTACAATCTCCTTGCAGCCCTGTGACCCTGTTCGTCTTTAATGTGCCAAGCCTTCAATCTGGCCAACGATGAACCTATCTGATCTAATGGTCATTAGTGGCCCCCTACTGGCTTCTCATTTCTCAAGTAAGCAATTCTTATAGGCCGAACAAGTCGTTATCTTAGGGCTTTGGGGATGACCTATAGTTGCTCGAATTGCCTATCAAGGTTGCGATTTTGATCGGAATCGCTATTCCACGGTTCCCAAGATGAAGCACGAATCTGAAAGATAGGTATCACGTTTTGCAGTTTCGTAGCATGCATTCTGGATTATTATCTGAATCTCGATTTTTGAAAGGTTGGAATCTATATTCCATATCATAGAATCTGCAATTCATAGTTGCACAGCAATATGTTGCAACATGTGCGAGATGTTGATTCAAATTTTTTAGGAATCGCGAATCCCTGTTGTTTGGAAGTGAGTTCCACATCATCAAAAGGTGTAGTTCTTAGATGCATCGAACAATGTTTTGATCAAC